TCTTCTTAGTTACAAAATTGTCCAATTTGTACATACCATTACTCAAATTCATGTTAATGGATTCGGTATGTTTAATGAGACTAGATTCTATAATGTTCCTACTGTCAATTGAATTACAAGGTAATATTGAGGAAGCATTATCCCAGTCAATGCAATGTTTATTATCCCTCAAATGAACGAACAGAGCATTGGATTCCTGGCCTGTCCTAACACTATATTTATGTTGTTTAAGTCTAGTTACAAGATCTTTACCTGTCTGGCCTAAGTAAAACATATTACATTTCCTTGCAAGGGATTTTATAAATGACCTCTGTGGACTTGTTGTCACCCTCCTCTGTATATATGTATATAACTTGTTCTGCATTTCTATTTTAGTCTGTACTCACCCCTGAAGATGTGAATTACACAAAAGCGCTTGGGGACTTCGTGTTTTTTCCTTGGGTTATCAGCATATATCTGGATCACGCGCACCTACAGTGATTTATTTGCATATATATATATATATATATATATGTATGTATGTGTGTGTGTGTGTGTATATGTATGTGTGTGTGTGTGTGTGTGTGTGTGTGTGTGTGTGTGTGTGTGTGTGTGGCTTCAAAAGGAAATAACAGTGACGAGGAAGACGACTATAACTGATGACGAGCGTGAGCAACCGTCTACAAGCAAGAGGCGTACAATTACTCATACTCAAAAGTTTCGTTATGAGTGGCTGCAGAGCAAGGACTTCAGGACAGGGCCGTCGTCAGGGGAGGGCTTCGGGGCTTTAGCCCCAAATGTTTTTTGTCTAGCCCCGAATCGTTTCAAGAATAAATTATGTTTTAAATTCAGGATTTACTTCCATCCATATCAAATGAATTTTATATAAGTGTCCTTAATTTATCAATAACTACTCCTGATGAGTACTGCTGTTACACAGTGCTTTGAGGAGATTGGAACAGCCATAGTAGTGGGTCTTAGAGCAAAACTGTGCAGGTCCAGAGCTTGCTTTCCACCACAGAGGGATTCCATAAATTTCTTCAAAGGGAAATAGTGGACTTAACCCAAGCACTGCAATTCAAAGGTGATATCAATGACACACCGAGAGAAAATGCACTGATGAAATGGCTGAAGATCTACACATGAAAGCAAAAGCCATACGTGAAACTAAGCACATCCAGGAACTGAGGGGTCCAAGACACAAACAAAAGAAGATGGAGGAGTATGTGGTGGAACAAGTTCCAACCTCGGCAATGCAGAACTTCTGAAAAGGAACTTGTATTTTCCCTGCCTTGATGAATGAGCTTGACCACCGATTTACTGGTGTGGGAGCTGATCTCATGAAAGGTATCCAGGTTTGTCACCCAGCCTCTGCGACTTTCCTCTCTGAAGAGTTCTTAAGAAAAGTTGCTATAAACTACAAAATCCAGATGAAATCAGAGGAAATTCTGGTTGCTAAGAATTTTCTAGCTAGGAAAAAGGAGACAAGTACCACTCCTGACATGCTCAGTGTATACAGGTTGCTCGATTATGATATGTTTCCAACTCTGAAAGCCATCTTTCATGTGACACTGACCATTCCTGTCAGCAGCTGCAGCTGTGAGCAATCTTTCAGTGCCTTGAGATATCTACGCACATGGTTAATGAGCACCATGGGACAGGACAGACTCAATCACCTGGCAGTTCTGTCCATTGAAAAGAATACACTGGATGGCATTGAACATATGAAGTCATCAACAGATTTGCTCCCCCCTCCAAAAAACTAAAGGTGTGCCTGGTGTGGTAAACAGTGATGAAGTTTGTGAAGGGATCGAACATGTCAAATTTACTTTTGCAACATTTAATGCATTAACTAATGTTAACACCCAATCAGCATGCTCACATGTCTCATTACACTGGTAACATACTACACACACAAACACAGGCACTCCAACAAAACAATAACAATCTACACGCATTAATCACCATATACAGCACACAAGTTACACAAACTTAACACACATTGGCCTACTATTTACATTATACACATCCCAGGAATTGTCTAAAAAATCTATTTAATATTTTTTTTTTTTTGCTGTATTTTAGACCGTTTGGTTTCATCTTTTAACTGCCTTCAGATGGCAGAAAATGTTGTCAAAGACAATGTAAATTCAAAAAAATCCAATGGTACCAGGCCCCCCGGACCCCCCAAAAAACTTGCGCCTTCGGCTCTCTTGGTTTTATAGAACTCATGGCTAAGCCCCCAATGTCCTGAAGGTCTAGCAACGGCCCTGCTCTGGAGCTGGCTAACACCACCGGCACAGGAAAGTACCAAACCTTAGTGTTCAATTCACTCAACTACAGTTCAGTGCAGCATATCAGGATTAGAGACACAGCAAAAGTGCATCACACAAAAGATTAAGCAGTGTAGGCCCATCTCAAAAGAGGATTGTTAATCTTTTTCAGACAAATATTCAGAGCCAAAAGTATTCCATGTTAACAGAATCGTGTTTGTGCGTTTATAGCTAAACATAATTAGCCATTTACCATTTCACAGCCTTTAGTTGATCTCATTAAAGCCACTAGCCCTAAAAATTGAATGGAAACTATGAAATTACAGCAACTAGTAATGTCTCAACCAAATGTACAAATATCTTGAGGTAGGTATTAGGACTTTATTTCTCTAGAGATCTAGTCAATCGGTTAAAAGAAGCCAAATTCAGCAGTATCCCGGATGAAACCACAGATGTTAGCACTGAAAACCAATTGGCAATTTGTGTTTCTTATTTTAATTATGAGAAGTGCGAAGTAGTAAACTCTTTTTACTAAATGGTGTCTAAAGAAAAATGTGATGCAGAATCTCTGTATGGTGCAATCAAAATGTCCTTTGAAGGAAAGAAGATTCCTCTAGATAACATAATAGGATTTTCCTCTGACACATATAACGTTATGTTCGGAGAACATAAAAGTGTGACTTCTCTAATAAAAGCAGATCTGCCTCACATACTTTCTGTTAAATGTAACTGTCATATGAAGCATTTGTGTGAATCACATGCATGCCTAAAACTCTCAACTTCTTTAAAAGATTTGTGTAGAAATGTATACTCTCACTTCAGTAGATCAAGTTTACGTAGGCATGAATTAAAGAATTTTAACACTTTCTTGATATATCTCCTCACGAACTTTTGAGTGTTGGGCAGACACGATGGTTGTCCCTGGAAACGTGTCTCAGTAGATTTTTAGAACAATGGGAAGCTTTGAAGCTGTATTTCACAGCAATCATCAGTGCAAGGCGAGATCCATCATATGTAACGGAAAGTATTCTCACTAACCTGAACAATCCATTCATTAAAGCTCATTTGCAATTTATGCAAGTACGGTTGCATAGGACAAATGAGTTGAATAAGTTGTTTCAGAGTGACAAACCTATGCTTCAATATTTGCATGGTTATGTTAAAAAATGTTATATGAGATCTTAAGTGATTTCATCAGTCTTAAACACGTAAGAGATAGTGACCCTTTTGCCATTGACGTTCATAATGTAGAGTGGCCAGTAAGCAAGTATTGATACTACCGAACACTTTCACAATCTGCCATTAGTAATGACTAATGTCAGGCATTCTTAATTGAATTAGTGGTGGGTTAAGGTGAAAGAGACTTACAGGGTACTTGTAAGCCCGGACCTATGGCCTAGAAAATAGTGCGTTAATGTTCGATATAAGGCAAACAGAGTATTAGGTTTTATATCTAGAAGTGTAAGTAATAAGAGTAAAGAGGCCTTATTGCAACTACATCTTGCGCTAGTCAGGCCGCACCTCGATTATGCGGTTCAGTTCTGGTGCCCTTATTATAGAATTAATATCAATTCACTGGAGTCGGTGCAGCGAAGAATGACGAAAATGATTTCGGGACTTAGAAACCTTCCATATCAAGATAGATTAAAGAAACTAAACTTGCATTCCCTAGAAAGACGAAGAGTGCGGGGAGATATGATAGAAGTATTTAAGTGGGTGAAAGGAATTAATAGAGGAGATATAGATAAAGTTCTTATAATATCCGATCAGGATAGGACTCGGAGCAACGGATTCAAGTTGGATAAGTTTAAGTTTAGGAGGGAGATAGGAAGGAACTGGTTCACAAATAGGGTGGTGGACGAGTGGAACAAGCTTAGCAAGTTTGTAGTAAGTGCTGGAACGCTGGAAATTTTTAAAAGGAGGCTAGATAGATTTATGGATGATAGAGAGTGGTAGTAACTCTCGACAGGAGCTGCCATGCATAGGCCAACCGGCCTATTGCAGAATCCTTATTTTCTTATGTTCTTATATGCGCATGACGCATTTGCCAAGTGGTGATTAGAGAAGGCTCCAGTACTACCCTGGTATAACAAATGTACTACTTATATCATAATACTGTATATTCTATTGTACACACAGGAAAACTAAGGTAGTCTTTAGGGAAATTGTCTCACAGTTCTAGGGTAATATTGATAACTCTGTAGTAAAAATCAGCAGGATCTATGGTAATCCTTGCTGCTACTGGTGGGAGTCTTGATTGTGTCTCTGGGTTGGGTCTGGTCTGGGGTAAATACACGCGTCCAGTACATGGCTGACTCGGTACAAACGCGCAGTTCCTTCACCCCACCCCATCTCTCTCTCAAACTATAAATTGTATCAATTTTTTACATAATTCAATTAATTTCACTCTTGCAAAGAATTCCAAATAATTCACAATTTTCTAATAAACTCTTGCGGGCTCCATAATATGGTTCCGCGGGCGTCACGACTGGTTGGGACCACTAGTATAGGGAAAGAAAAAGCATGGCCTACCAGAGATACTTATGAGGTATGATATCCACGAATAAAGGTCGACAAGATGACGACATGACAAAATAGCGGCACTATAGAAGAGAGAGACCTGATCTAACACGTGTATTAAGACAACGTCTCAGTGACAATGTAATCACAATAATATACCCACACTTAAACAACGCGTTAGACGAAGCGACCGGTGTCGAGAATCAGTGAAACAATGTCTGTACTCACGTATGATCGCTTATGCGCCAACGTAGGTAAATCCTTATGTACGACACTGAAACTCGGACTGTAACTCCTGCTTGTCCTGCCTTCCTCAAGCACGATGACGCTCCCTCCCCAAGTCCCAAGGCGAGCTGGCGAGTGGGAGTCAATTCGGAATTTTTATCATCATTTAATACGCGACTCCCAGGCTGTAATGAGCTCTGAATGCTGGGTTGAGGACATTAGACTACGTGAGGAGCCGGCTGAGATGATTTTGCCAGGCGTTTCTCCCTAATTGTTGCAACTAATCCCACGCTAAATTATGCATAGCACTCCTGACAACTGCCAACCACCACTGCGCGCGCAACTCGACTGCGATAGTGCGAGTGTCGGCTGCTACATTGGCAGTGTTGCTATATTAGCCCTTTTCTGGTAAATCTAGCCAATTCCAAATAAATTAACCGGAAAGTTTTGCATCGAACCGATGACAGAAAAGGACGGCCATTTTAAGACGAATGAGTAACATGCGCCATCGAAAATTTTATTTTGTGTGTGTTATTTATATTATTTGAGAGGTATTGAACAACCAAATTTAACGGGCTACAAATGTACATTATTCAAGTTAGGTTGTGTACTGTCCGGACCGACACAGATCTCGGTAAATCAGTCGTTCACGAACAGTACAAGTCCTGTGGCTCCTCCCTCCCAGGAACAATGCACGTCAGAACAAGATGACGTAAGTGTGAGTGGGCCTTTTACTGGCAGCGCATACGGCGCTCAGTCAAAACTTATAGCTAGCTTTCAAAGCTTTCAAATATATATATATTTTTTGGCCACACATGAAGAAAGATGTCACCCATTTCGTTAAAACTTGCCATGAGGTGGGAAAACCTAATAAATCATTCCCCTGCTCCTTTTGTGAAAATGTGTTGGACCTTTGCCTAAAACATTCAAAAGAAATCAGTGCATTCTTACAGTAATGTGTCCTCGGTCCTCCGACTAGATTTCCTAAAGCATCCCTTTGAAAAACATTACTGTCACAACAATTGCTAATCAATTAATAAAAATGTTCACTACATATGGTATTGAATAGGATATACAAATTAATAGGGGCACCAACTTCACGATTAATCTCTTGTAGGTATAGTCATAAGTACTGTAGGTGATAATGAATTTAATGTTATGAAAATTACCCCCGGGCAGTATATCAGAACCTGTAATATACACAGGTGAATTAATGTAAACATGTGTTTATATTAATTTACCTGTATATGTTACAGGTTCTGATATTTTGACGACACCGTTGTGCCGGGAATCCGATTGAAAGCTGTCTGTCTGAGACCCAGGTGTGGTGAAGAGTTAAGCTTCTAGTGCTCGGTTCGAACCTGGCACCCAGAGGTGAAAATTGTTTACTTTACTCTAGACAACTTAATTAGTTCCTAAAACCCGACCGTAACACTAATTAAAGTGTGTATCAAGGAATATTATTGACTTACTAACCCAATTGTCCTGATATAATGGTCTGGTGGCAGCAACCAAGTTAAGGATTAAATTTAGGAAGAAAAATAAGTTGATCAAAGCTCAGTATATAATTTCAAGATGAAGGGATGATTTGTTGTCTATGAGCCACTGTTTGCATAACTCAAGTTAAGATGGTAATTCATTAGCTATATCAATTGGACCTTTACCTGAAACAATAAGGGCTCTGTCGTCAGCATATAACAAGCGTTTGCAATTAGCACGAATGTTCATGTCATTTACGTAACACAGGAAGAGCATTGGTCCTATAGGGCACTCCTTTGTGGGACTCCACAGGCTATCGGCATGGGTGTTGACTCTATTATTTACAATAACACTTTGTTTTCTGTTGCTTAGATACAGTTTAAACCAGTCAACAGATCCAATGCAAAAGCTTGAAGGTTTTTACATAGTACTGTATATCATGATCCACTGTATTGAAGGCTTTTCCTAAGTCTAACGTTACCTTGCCCGTGAAATTTACCTGACCTATTTAGGATCAGTGGTGATTCTAGGATTTTTTTTCTGAGGGCAAAGGCTTTGAAATTATCCCAATTTGTGTCCACGTCTATGTTTGGGGCTTCATTCTTCAGATAAATTACTCTCTGAGAACCTTACTTCCCTAGGTACTAAGACTTTGAGGCCTTTCATTACTTGCACTGTAGCTTGTTTACTGTGTCTCCCTAGCATCCCATTATGCTTCCTCACTTTCACTGTGCTTCCCTACCTTCAACGTGCTTCCCTTCCGTCACTTTACGATTATTCCCCTAAGTTTGCTGTGCTTCTTTACCTTCACTGTGCTTTTATACCTTCAATATGCTTCCATTCATTCATTGTGTTTTCCTATCTTCACTGTGCTAGTGTTCTTCCCAGATTTCACTGTCCTTCCCTAGCTTCACTTTGTTTCCATGCATTTACTGTAATTCTTTACCTTAATTTTGCTTCATAACTTCACTGTGCTTTGAGCTTCCCTACCTTCACTGTTTTTATCTATTTTCACTGTGCTTCCCTAACTTCACCTTTTCTTTCCTACAGATATTGGTGTTGCCTGGGGAAATGATGAGCTGTGGAAAACGCGCGGTAATAAATGAAAGAAAAAACGGAGCGCGAGCAGTTTACGGTGTTGCTTCTGAACGGAGCTGCCCCGTACTGACAAAATACTCTCCTATATGATGAAAATATATAAACGAACTCTTACGAATGAACGCGTATTGTACAAACTGCATCTGGTGGCTGGCGCTTCCAGACCATAAGACGTCTCTCTCTCTCTCTCTCTCTCTTTCCGCCCACAAAACTTGGAAATTACAGTAGGTAAGAAATTATTTCCCCATTTTTTTTCAAGGGAGCAGTCTGCCCTATTGCGGTGTAAATCACCAAACATGTTTTTATATCTTTACTTCCAAGTTACTTTTTACTTTTTACTTTTTATTTAAATATATTTCGTTCAACGGAAGAAGTTTATAAACATCTCAGAAGGCACTACTCAGTCTAGTGTTCATACCTGGAGACGGACGCCCGCCCCACTCGGGGTCACAACTCAAGTTTGAAGAAGCCACACGTTCAGAGCGTTGTTCTCAGCCCTACTCTCTTTAACTTTTACTTTTTTACTTTCACTTTTATCTTCTTCGCCACTGATCGGCTCATTAGCCGCTTGGGCGGTCGGTCACATCTCTGTTACACACTGTTGGCAAGTACTGGGCATGCACCGGCTCCTGATTGTACCTGAAACTGCTCCAGTTTTGGTCAAGTCTGGTCTTGAAAGTGCTCACACTCGGTGCGTAACAAAAATTTCTGGCAGATCGTTTCAAGAGTTCACAACTCTCACTTCGAAAAAGTTTTCCCTCGAAGTTTTCTGGACTTGCGGCTTCTTCAACCTTGAGCTGTGACCCCTTGTGGGGCGAGCGTCTGCCAGCTCCAGGTAACGACACTCGACTGAGTAGCGCCCCTTGAGATGCTTAGACACCTCAATTAGGTCACTCATTCCCCGTCTGTAGTATAAGATAAGGCCAGTTCAGGTGCTCCAATCTCTCAGGGTAGTTGAGGTGCCGAAGTGCAGGCACCAGTCTGGTGGCCCTCCTTTGAAATTTTCAATCAACTGACAATCCCTAGTATATCTCGGGGACCAGACGGGGTGACAGTACTCCAGATGGGGAAGCACCTGTAGGGGTATCGAGATATTAATGTTGTCTAGCACTCAGGATGGAAGGAAACTCTAATGTGGTTTTCTTGTATAATATATAAGTTATATGAAGACATTCTGGTGCTGGAGATGCCGTGTGGTGGGGAGCTGCTCAGTAGAAGACGTTCAGTGAGTAGCGTGTTGAAGGAGGTAGATGTGCAGGAGCTTCGTTAGAGAAGATGTTGCCTGTTGCTGGCCTCCTGGTTGAATGAATGCTGGACAGCTAGGAGCTTGCTGGAGGAGATGTTGCTTGTTCAGGAAAATGGGCAGAATGAATCTCAATGGAGAGACAGAGCTTATATACCCAGCAGCCGCTATGAGTCATGTTGGGAAAACCCGAGAAGTCGCCGGTCTTTTGGCTCGGTTGCTAGGATACTGCGACATTGGAATGTGGATACGCTTGGTTGCTAGGGAAGACGGTAACAGGTGGTGGCGTGGCTACGCAGTTGTAAGCAGTTGTAGGGGAGACGTCCACTACACACCTCCCTTGAAGATCGTTACGAGGGACAGACCGTTTAAATATATGAACGACCTTCTTTAAGACCTAATAATTTATTTGCATGATTTACCTTCTTCTCGCAATGACCCAAGAAGTCCAGCTCATTGTCAACATACTCACCTAGGTCCTTCTCACATTCAGAATCAAATAGTGCAGTTTCTTCATCCCGTTGGGACATATGATACGCCTCCTTGCCGTTGGTACGCCCAATGTTATCGCCGCTTGCTTCAGCTACAGTGGCTTTGGCTTTGGAGTCATGAGTTATGAGGTGAAAGAAGATTATTAGGGATTTAAGAAAAGTGGTGAAACTGAAATACAGTAGAAGTAGAAAGAATCTGGGCTCAGCCAGATCGCTTCTTCTTTTCTATCGGTTTTTTTTATCTTAGTTTTGCTTATTATACTTTTTACTTTTTTTATTTTTTTATTTTTTTATTTATTTTTACTGTGATGGAGTTAGTGAGTCCTCCCAGGTCCTTGTGTGGCTGGGAAGGTATTTTATTTTTTTTGCTAATGTGTTAATTAAATATTAGTTGTGTTAGTCTAAAGGTACACTGTATGGAGAGGCCTGCCAGGTTGTTAGTGTAGCTGGTAGGTCACTCTCATCTTTTATTCTCTCTATTAATGTTTTATGTGTACATTGGGGCAGGAGGTGGTTCAATTACTTTCTTTCTGGCTGATTTAAACCAACTCTGTTCTTGGAATTCTTCAATATCTATATTATTTATCCAGTTTGGTAAGTTTCTGTGTTGAAATCAGTCACTTTGCTCCAAATATTTGCGGCTTTGTTGTGTATTTGTAAATTGATGGCTAGAAGGTTTGCTCTCTTGTGTAGCTGTACTAAGGGCGGGGGGCGGTGCCATGAGGCTCATAAATAAATAAGTATCTGTCCTCTGTAGCCTTTTTTTTGTCAAAATCTAAGTACAAATTACGAGTTATCAGTGCGAAAATTTCGTCATTCAATTTAATTGCCTCTTCATCCATCTCATTTT